TAGTGCGACTCAGTTCCTTTGCACACCCGCGTGAACCCACACCTTGCATGACCTTGCTTTGAATTCAGGGGGAGAGGTAGAGTAAGAGCGTGATGGCATGCGTGTGAAGAAAGGGCTGACTTGTTTTGGGGATGGATAAATCTCTGGATTATTTTTTTTCTTGATTGTGAAGGTAGGCTGGGAGATGCGTGTGAGAAGGAATCAACACTGTTTGCTCAAGATAATAATGGGGATGCTTATCGCTCTCCCACTCAACCTGAATGCATGTGACAGAACAGCGAGGGATAAAAATAATAATGGACGTGCGAACGGACGGGTGCCGAAAGAATGAAGGCCGTGGGAAAATTAAAAGAAAAGAAGACAAGGGAATACCTTAGTATCTTCCCAAGGATTTCCCCATTCTATCCCGAACGACCACTATCCTTTAATGCCCGTCCAAAATACCTTACTTCTTTCTCTTTTCAATTCGTCTAAGTCGACCATTAACCGGGAAGGCATAGAGTGATCGTCTGCACCTAGGGTCTAGGCTTCTTCTCTCTAGGAGACATCTGAGGCGGGGGTTCGTTGCCTTAGGGGGCGACCCTGTTATCGACTCGAAGCGGACCGCTTTTGCGGGGGGATACCATGCTGTTGTGGTGGAGCCATCCCAACTTCTGAGTCCTGAACAATGTGTTCGGGCGAGGGGGAGGGATATTCCAAGCCACTTCCTAGAGGGTAGGGTGTCTTAAAGCTAGGGGCAGTCGCCTCCTCGTGCTTTCAGGGAAAGGGGAGGCTGAATCTAGTACCCGGCCGGGTGGACGCTTTATGAGCCGCCAACGTGTGGGAGGGCTGGCGCCACAAGAAACCCAGCCCGTGATTCAACTAGTGTTAATGGGAGTGCAAATATGCACTACTCTCGCAATCGGACCGTGACACAAGAATCACGGCCCGAAAAGGGGAGTGAAGATTGAACACGCAAGTGGGTATGTCTGAATTATTTTCACAAAAATTACCGCTTCGTCGTCCAGATGCTTGCGGGGACGGTGATTCTCTAATTGTTCAGCACATGCGAGGCGGCGGTTAATTGGTTAGCGATGCCGACACGATCCCGCGCCGGCATGGTACGAAAAGGAAGGTTGGTGTACAACCCACTTGAGGTTTACTCGGAACGAGATGTGCCGCGATTCTGGGACGGGAGCATGAGGAAACCACTGCGGAGTTATATTTTCTTGGTTGAACCAGGCCAACGTATTGTGCGGTATGATTTTGCGCCTCCTAATCCATCACGAGATTACGGAGACATGAACCTGGTAGTGGTTCACGAGGACTGTCCGACAGTAGAGAACATTCCTGATGATAGAAGGATGTTCCTCCATATTGTACTCCATTTGAACGATTTGCAAGGTCCGTTCGCCCTCCTTCATTAGGTGAGACGAGTCCGGGCGAATAGATTTAATATCATTCGCTCGGAACGTTTCGACGTCATCGCGTTTTATGACGAGGCTTGTGAAATTTATGAGCGCCTCTTCTAACAGGTGGCTTCTTCGGTGTGCAGATGCCTAGCGGACGGCGAGGCCTCACTCAAGCCAGATATCTACTGATTCGCGACACTATGAACGAGGAGCTGATCTGGCGAGCGGAGCGATTATTACTGGTTTGAGATGGAGTGCCCACACAGTGGATTGGTTTTATCGGCTTGCTCAGTGATGGGCAGGGATTTCTTCCTAACTCGTGCGCGGATGTCCGCGCCAATGTGGCCCGACTTCCGGACGAAGTTCATGGATATACTTTGTACTTCCATCGAGCGAGCAACCTGCAATGCCTTTCCGGGGTCATTGTGAGTGTCAAAATTACCCTATCCAAGGAGCGCTATGGCGTTATCTGTATCAAAGAAACCATTACCACGCACCTGTTTCGGATGCGTCAACCATCCCGCACCATAGTTTGGAGGCTCGCCTCATGGGTGACTTCTCTCTATGACACGCGGAAGGTCCGAGTCGTGCGAGGTGGACGTGTCTCCACCTTGACTTTTGACGACGAGGAGCTTACACGACTCGACCAGATAGAGGCCGAGGCCCGTGAGGGCCGACAGGTTTATCCTGGCTGAGCGCACCCTCTCGAGTCAGGTGCAGTGGTAAGTTTTTTTTTTTGTAGGGCCACTTCTATGTGACTCCACAAGGGTAATAATAACAAAAAAAACAACAATTTTGCGTAGGTAGGCCAACCAGATGGATAGTATCTGGATTGCCCCGATGATAGCACTATCATGCTTAGGCATTGAGGGGTAATCGAGCACTGAACAATAAGCCAAATAAAGTGAAGGTCGAACACCTGACAAGGTGTTGAGCCAAAGGGCGAGGGCGAAGTATCAGGAAACGAAACATTCTCACGCCGAGTATCCGGTGTTGGGGATGGGTACTTCGTCATTCGTGGAACAGAGAGAGTAATTATTGCCCAGGAGGACTAAGCGACTAACAAAATTACATTCGCCCCTCCAAGTAGTTATACATGGTATGGAGATATGGTCGAACCGGGAGTTCAAACATCGACCAGGAGTCAGATCAATTGTCAATCTGCATGGTACCCACGATATTTACTTGTAAAAGCTGTGCGCGACTGATCTTCCGTCTTCGGACGACAATATAATTGTCTCTTCGGTCATGTAGGCGGGAAATGATAGTCTTGGCAGATCATCTCATCAATTCGAAATGTTGTTTATGTATTTTATTCATTTTATGAGTAGGGGATTATAAAGGGACTAGGACTATATGTTCGGTTTCACGTTTGGTCGAGGCCATCCTAGTTGATCGATGCTCGTTCGTACCGAGGAGATCAGCGCCCTCGGGAACGGACAACGTTCGCGTTCACTTGGCGCTAACCAAGCGTACCTATACTCCAGCGAGCGAGCAAACGCCCTCGGCTGACCTACCTCTGCAATTGCACGTAAAAACTTTCGCATGTGGGTTAGTAGCTCGGTAGGGATACGCCCCTGAGGGTGGTGATAGCCCTTCAGGGAACGTACGTTGTGCCCCGCGAAAACCTATCCTGTCGTAGCGGACCGCGAGATGTATAGCTGGCGCACGTGGCTAGAGCGGCGAAGGGACAATGCAACTGCGCCCGTCTTGGCGGTTCGCGAAATCAATTCTGCATCGTCCTAAGTTGTCTTTTGGTTTTGTCATGTTCCAACTCCTGTGTGACATAGCCGGGAGGGCCCTCGCTCACGCGGGGGCCGATGCGCTCAACGGATGGCGTCGTTGCCGGGGATGACGGCAAACTACCGTTGTCCCTGGTGGAACGACACTCGGGAAAAGGATGGTAATAACGATTTTAATTGTTGTGTTTTGTTTCTTTGGATTGAAAGTAGTCAGTGGTTATCAATGTTTGGAGAAAGAAAAGAAGGCAAGGTTTGGAGTGAGTTGTTGGAATATATTTGACACTTGGACGTGTGAGTTTGTCGTGTTGATTCTCTCAAGATGACGGGAGGAAGTGCTGATCCCGCAAATAGTAATGCAGGGATCGTCGCAAAGATATCTTGGAACTCGCACGAGCTATTCGGGAAGCCGATAATCAGAAGTCGCAAGTGTCGAAAGTTCAAGTTCCCCTCTTCGATGGCACCAATGCCTCAGCATGGGCGAACAAGTTTGAGCAATTGGGCAGTTGTTGTGAATGGACGAGTGAAAAGATGCTTCAAATGGTGAAGCGATATTGTATGGTTGAGTATAAAGAAGAAGTGTCGGATTTGGTGCACGCTTCGCGCTACTGGCCGGACTTCAAAGCCAAGTTACTGGACAAGTACCAATTGGGGGATCAACTGCTCGACCTGGCGGACTTACGAAAAGTTAGTCGTTGGAAGTTTGGTACGACCAAGCAGTTTCTTACAGAATTTGAACGAGTCGCGAGCTTAGTGCCTGACCTTCCTGATAAGGAACGGTGCCTCATCTTCCTCGAAAACTTTTCAGAAGTTGAGTTGCGGGAACAGATGAAAGATATGACTGGGCGATACGACTGGCCAAAAATTAAGGAGAACCTGCTGGCTGGAAGCTTCGACCAGATGTTTTACCGTCTCTTGAAGCAGCAAAAGGAGGATCGCGAAAAGGAAGGGGTAAGCGCGGATAAGGATCAGGCCATTTACAAAACCCTGACTGATATGCGGAACATGATGGCTGACATGAAGGAGGAAAGGTTGAAGTTACAAGTGATGATGGTCCAGACAAAAGGTGGGAAAAGGAAGGGGAAAGCACCTGTTGTGGAGGAAGTGAGTAGTAGCAGCAGTGAAGAGGAAGATGAGGAGGAAGTGGAGGCCCCTCGAAAATTGACCAAGGCAGAACGGAAAGCCCTGAATCAGATACGAGGAGGGCAAGGCACTAGTAAAAAGCAGCGGAAGAATAATGGAGGAGGTGGACAAGGAGGTAATTAGGAACAGGCGGCGCAGACCCCTCCTCAGCAACCCCTACCTCAGGCGGGAGGCCGAGGCCAAGGTCGAGGTAGAGGACAAGGCACTGGGGGGGGCCGAGGAAATGGGGGCGGTCGAGGCAATTGGCAGAATTGGTTTTGCAAGTACTGCGGACAAGATGGGCATGGGATACGGTTTTGTCAGACCGTTACCAAAGATAAAAACGACAAGGTTATATATACGAATATCCGAGGCGAGGTCTACGACTTCGAAGGGAACCTCATCGATCCCAATGTGGAGGGAGGAATGAGAAAGGAAGCGTTCCGATGTATGGGGCGAGATCTTCCAGCAACTTTTCGACTGGCTTTCCCGGAAGAAGTCCAACAGATTGAGTTGGAAGCGGCGATGGAGTCATTGAGAATTGAAGATGCCAAGGCCGCAGATGAAGGGTTGAGCAAAGAACAGGAAGAGATACTGCAGCGAGCTCAGACAGTGGTCGGAAAAATGACTCGATGCAGGAAAACTTTTGTTCAAGTATGTGCGGATATGAATGAAGAGTGGTTCGGGCTTCCCCAAGTTTTTCTGTTTGGAGGATGGGACAGAGACAGCCAAGGAGGTCTTACTGATGTTACCGCATCACAACCTGGATTGTCGTCGACAGGGCGTTTGATGGCCACTACGGTTTTGTCCCGTCATGCCTTCAAGCGACCTGCCACCGCTGGTCTCCCACAAGCTCGGAGGGCTCGAAGGCCGCCGCGGCCAAGGGCAGCGCCAGAAGAAGGGCCTAGACAGCCTCGGGAAACCGAGACAATTGCGATTGAGGAAGACAATGGCGAGGAGGACGAATTGTTGCGGGCCGAGGATGAGCGGCAGGCCAAACAACGGGCCATGGAGAGGGAACCAGAAACGGGCAAGACCGATGTTGAGGAAGGAGAGCTGGAAAAGAAAAAGCAGGTCTACACAATTCCAGTAGAGCAGGGACTGGATATTGAGCAAATCGTGGACCGGATTTTGGAAAGCCAACGCGATTTGTTCACGCTCAAGGAGTTCTTGGCCGCGTCGCCCAAAATCCGAGAGGAGTTCAGACATCGATTGTCAAGAAAAAGGGTGATGCTGGTTAAGATGAGTGATATCTTTCCTCAAGAGATTAGTTGAGCTCCAGCTGGGACAAAAATGGACTGGCACTGTGTAGCAACTGGGGTCTTCTGTATAATACACTTCTTCTTCTTGCGTGATCAGGACGGACACTGGCCGAGCTTTCTCACCTACTCTCTTGTACTTACGTTTCGCTCCGACTCCAAGTCGTCCACCCCTAAAAAAGGCCCTTGCTTGGTTGCTGGTTCCGTCAATACATCACCTTCCGAAGACCTGTCGGGTCGATAGGTAAGATACATCCTAGCAGTCCCGCCTTCTTCTGCCATAATCTCTGTCAGCGTTTGGACCAACTTGGGGTCCACGGACGAGTCTGTCGCAACGATTCGGATTCCGTGAAGGAGTAGGACCTCGGATTGAGTCGGTTCCTTGAGTTGGTTGGTTCTGTGTTCTCACACTTCAGCACCTCGTAATAGCCACATACGGGGTCACACAAAACCACGATCATAGTACCATCATGCTTGTTAAAGATGATGGATTCTGATCGACATAGGAAAGCTCTGCCCAGCAACACGGCATGCTCAACCCTGGGTAGCACGTAGAAGCACGAACGGACTTTAACTTTACCAACTTGTATCCTCACGTCACTCGCCGTTCCGCAAAAGGGAGTTATCCCACTTGCACCCACCAGAAATCCAGTTTCGCTCGATTGATGTTTACTCCTGCCCCCATGGCTTCTGTTTCACGTATAATGTTCATTTCAGCCCCATCATCGATGAGCGCCGAGTATTCGCACGGCCCAACTTGCACCTTCAACACATTGGTGAGGAAGGGTTTCTTACTGAGAAGGAGGTGGACTTCCTTGTCAGCGTCTTGAAAAGAACTCATTTGGCTTACGCCTTTGATGGTGATGAGCGAGGGAGGCTTGTCGTTGATATGATTCCAATGATCAGGATTCATACGGTACCTCACGAGCCGTGGAACATACGAGGTCCGCGTTATCCGAATCCGGATGATCGTCGGAGAGTTGTTGAATATTTGGATGGTAAAATTCGGACGAGTGTCGCGAATTACTCATATGGTCCATATGCGTCCCCTTGGTTTTGCTTTATTAATCCAAGTGGCGTATTGCGATGGGTGCAGAACTTGCAGAAGCTGAACTCAGTGACGGTTCGTGATGCAGGGGGACTTCCGCATGCCGATCAACTGTCGGAATCGTGCGCAGGCAGGCCTATCATCACTCTCATTGACTTGTACTCAAGATATGATCAATTCCCTCTCTTTACGGCAGACAGGCTGAAGACGGCCATGCATACGCCGAGGGGATTAATTCATATGTGTGCGGCGCCTCAAGGGGGGACGAACGCCGTAGCCATTGTTCAAAGATATATGATGAGAGTCATGCAGCCGCTTTGTCCGGACGTGACCTCACCTTATATCGATGACCTGGCCATACGTGGGCCACGTGTGAAGGACGAAACGGAGGTGTTACCAGGCATTCGAAAGTTTGTTAGGGAGCACATTCGTGACGTGGAGAAAGTCTTGACCAAATTGAAGGAGTATAACCTCACTGCCAGTGGTGTCAAATCTCGACATTGTATTCGTGAGGCAACTATCTTGGGCTTCCTGTGCGATGAGAAGGGTCGTCGGCCAGATTCCAAGAAGACAAACAAGATTCTAGAATGACCGACTCCGCTTAAGTCCATCACTGATGTGCGCAGTTTCTTGGGGACTTGCGGATTCTGGCGTATCTTCATTCGCAAGTTCGCAGCAAGGGTGGAACACCTACGGAAGTTGGTGCGTAAAAATCAAGAATGGAAATGGGGCCCAAAGCAGCAGGCGGCTGTCGACGACATCAAGGCACAATCCCGAGAAGGAGGATTGATCCTGAGAGTTCCATGCTTTGACAATGACCCGAATCGGCCTTTTGTGGTTGAAACGGATGCAGGCCCCACGACATTGGGTGGAGTCCTCATCCAAAAGGATGGAGAGGGGCGAGAACGACCATTGAGATTTGAAAGTCGAACGCTGAATGAGGCGGAAAGAAAATATTCCCAATTTAAGAAGGAAACTCTTGCAGTGCTTCATTGTTTCTGGATCTTCCGGAACTACGTGTTTGGGAGACGGTTCGTCCTGCGAGTGGATCCGACGGCTTGGCACAGTCACTGAAGAATTATTCTCCTTCGGATCCAACTATTGCTCGATGGCTGATCTATATCTGGATGTTCAATTTTGAGATCGAGCGTATTGCGGGAACGCAAAATCGAGCAGATGGATTGAGTCGGATCGAGTGGGACTCCTTGAAAGATCAGGCAGAAGACTCAGTTCCTGTGGATGGGTTTCTGGAGACAGACGAGCAACAGCTGAGTATCAATGTTTGAGAGTATATTACTAATGCTTCGTCCCGACCTGGGAAATCTATCTGGAGTTCTCCGAGTTGCTATCAGAAGCGTTCAGAACTTGTCATGAGCGAGCCCTTTACTGAGGAGGATCTCTGGGGCGAACGGTCCACGGAACAAATGATGAGGTTGGCATTGTCTGACCCAGTACAACTTTCAGAAGAACCCCTTACGATTGAAGGGGGACATGAGCAAGGCGACGAAGTCCTCAGGATCTCCAGGGGGATGATATTCCTTGTTAATTCATTGATACAGGAAGACCGCGGCAAGTTAATGTTGGAAGAAGGGGAAGGCAGTGACATCAAAGAAGTCTTTCGTGAGGAGGAATATGATGGGATTTATAAGAAGATTGGGCCTTGGCTGAATGGGGACTTGAACGAGGCAGAGATAGAGCCAGAAATAAGAGAGAAGGCAAAGAATTTTATCATTCGACAGGGGCATCTTTTCAAAAAGTCTGACGATGGTATGCCTAAGAGAGTAGTATGTGGGGTTCCCAGACAATTGGATGTGATTGCAGCCCTACATGATGGAGTGGCAGGTGGACATCGATCTGCACGAGTGACACTGAGAAAAATCCAACATCTCTATTTTTGGGATGGTATGGGTAAGATGGTGGCAGAGTTCTGCAACTCGTGCGTTCCCTGTCAGAAATGTTCGAATCTACGCTATGCTGAGCCACTTAATGCACGATATGTGGTTGAGCCAGGTGCAGTTCTGCACCTCGACCTGGTCGTTATGCCACCCGGACTTAATGGGTACAGATACATTTTTGACGCGAAAGATAATCTTACCGGGTTTATTGATGGGCGTGCAATCCGTGAGCGAACCGGGAAGATTCTGGCAGAATGTATCGAAGAATTTTACCTTCGGTATCTATTTGTCCGAGAATTTATGATGGATCGAGGAGGTGAATTTCGGGCCGAAGAGGTTCAGGCTCTCATGAAAAGGCTGGGAGTGAACTATAGTTATACTACTAGAGCGCACCCCAAGGCTAATGCTCCGGTTGAACGTGGTCATGCCACCTTGACTAACTTGCTAGCAAAATTGTGTGCTGGCAAGCCGTCAACATGACCCGTCTATCTCAGAGCTGCCATATTTGTTGAAAATATCACCATAAAACGAACTACTGGGTATGCTCCTGTTACGTTATGGTTAGGACGACATGCTACATTTCCAATCGAGAGTTTCCTGACCACATGGCAAAAACAGGATATGAAAGTCAGACTTTCTACAGAAGAATTGTTGGACCTTAGGGTCAGACAAATAAAAGCTACTGAGGAAAGAGTTGTAGAGGTCGCTGCGTCAACTGCGGATAGCAGACAAACGAATAAAGTTAGATGGGATAAGCAACCCCGGGTTAGGAAGGAACCGTTGGAAGTGGGGAATATTATCCTCCTCTATGACTATTCTTTTGAAAAGCAGTGGTCGAGGAAATTAGATAATCGATGGATAGGGCCATATCGTATTCTTAAGAAAACGGAGCATGGAGCATACAAGATTGAGGAGATGGATGAAGCACGTGAGCGAGATTGGGTTTCAGGCTCATGCTTGAAGAAGTTTGTTCATAGGGACTCAATAATGCCTTGGTTTTTTTAACAGACATTGATACCACTGGTTAACTTGATTTTATGATTAAGTATTTGTAAGATATATTTTCCATGTAATGGACAGACACATATGGACTTGTAATGAATTACTTGTTGACGTCATTTATGTCATTATTCTTCGTTTTTCAGCAAGATAATTCATGTGCATAATTATTTTTTTCAAACTTTGTAAAAATGATTCCCTGAGTATGCATCTCCTTTATTTCTTATGTTGAATGTGTTTTGTTTGTGAAGGATGGGTGTGAATCATTTGTGCAAAGTTATGACTTAGCGTATAACATGTGGCTTCCTGGACGATAAATGTTCGTTCTGTAGGCACATGGTTTAATAAATATAATAAGTTATATGTAATACCTAGTCTTTATTGTGTCTTGATATTCCTGAAAGATGTGAGCCTTGTGGGTGATAGTGATGCTCGTTCTTGAACTTGGTTCCTGGTCCACAACGAGATGATGTTATTTTTTTTGAAAAAGGGCGATGGTTACACTATCACCGAAAAGGAGGATGGTGTCGTAATCCTGTTGGGACCTCGCCTATGGTGGGGAGCGATCGCTGCTTATCACAGGGGTGGGGTTGGTCGTCTACCCTTCTGGTATGCAGGGTCGCCGTGTCCTTATGATCCTCGTCTGACCTACTTGGACTATATGGATGAGGTTGTCTCGCCCTGTAGACGTGGCATTAACAGAGTTGCGATACTGGAATCGGAGGGAATGTGGTGAGGCTCGGATCTAAAGCGGGGCTTGATGTCGGGATGTTATCCTTTGCGGAGGATTATACCACTCCTCGACGCAGTCACATAGAATTCGGGGATACTAAGACATAAAAATCATAGGTATTTGTAAAATTGCACAATCGGATGGGTTATGAAACTCGGGTAAAGGACTTAAATAATTGGTTCTTGTATTGGATAGCTAGTTCAGATTATGTCTGAACGATTATCATAGGTTGGGTTATGGAGATCTGTCACGGTTTATTCCTGGCTCATTCTGGGAATTAGCGGAAGGATAATACGGGTCTTCCATAAGGGATGGTGGAACACCGGAGCCTTGTTATTATTATCCCCGACAACTGTGACTGTAGTATAGTACGAGTATCCTTGTGTTACGTGGGAGGTCGAGGTTAAA